TTGCTAAATGAATGTGGTCAGCCCAAGAAGAAGTTTGATCAAATTATGCAACATGTTTTACAGGATACATACAGGATTCATTCTGTCCCTCATTTAGTTTTTCAAATATATATTTGAGTTGTGACTATCGTGTCAAAGGTGTTGTGCATCACGGGTTCACACTCTGATGATACCATGCTGAAGACACCTGACATTCGTTTGTCTAATCTGTCATGCAATAAATATTGCTGTATTTAGTTTAAAGTCTGTTGTAGGTATTGGACTATTTGACTGACTGTGTCAACAGAAACCTTTCAGTTCAAATCCTATTTTATCTGTGCAAACATTCTGAACCAGCAAATTAACATTGAGCTATTTGGGGATTTTTTTATTTTCACTTATGTGGYTGTATTTCCTTTCTGAAGTTTCCTGTGCTTTTTACTTGATAATCTTGCTGAATTTTCAAAAACAGCTCCTCTTAGATTTAATGAGTGAWTTTTTGTCATTTTTTGTTTTCTGTAYACAGCAGAATATTGTCTTAAAAATGAATCTTTCTAATTTGTCACCTTACTAACCATGTGTAAGTTGCTTTAAAAGATTAGATTTTTTATAGACCAAATACATCARTATAATTTTCAACATTGTGCAAAATGCAATTGCACTCTTAAAATGTCAAACTTCAGAGTAAAAGCTTTAATTGTAGACATGTTTGCATTTAAAGTGTATAATTACAAAACTATAAATGTTCCGTGACATTGGTCAGGTCATCATTAAACAACAGTGTTGCAAAAAGGTTAATAATCCAGATCTGCGTAGAGCTGCATGATATTAGGAAAAGTTGATGTGTGATATTGGTATAATACTGCAATGGCAATATACAGTGGTTTGCAAAAGTATTCATACCCCTTGAACTTTTCCATATTTTGTCACATTACAACCACAAACATAAATATATTTCGTGACATTGGTCAGGTCATCATTAAACAACAGTGTTGCAAAAAGGTTAATAATCCAGATCTGCGTAGAGCTGCATGATATTAGGAAAAGTTGATGTGTGATATTGGTATAATACTGCAATGGCAATATAAATTGTAATAAACCCACGTTTTGCTAACTTTTTTATTTTATTTTTTTAAAAACAGTCACAAGCATGAAAAGCTGCATGAATCAGATGCACCCACAATACCTACAAGCCTTTTAACCTAAAACTGTACTTTGAAAGGTTTTCACAGGGGAAATCTTGTCTTTGTGACCTAGATGCTATAAAATGTTTCGTGGCGATAGAAACAAAATCAAATAATACAAACAGATCTTGAGGGTTTTACCATCAAACCGGTTCCAAAGCCAATTCAGAGCAAGTGTTTACTTAGCATCACTACTTTTTGTTTCAGTCTTTAAAGCACCAACYAAATGCAAATGGAGGGTATTTCATTGCACCAACTCAAACAACAACAAACTGCTTTCATTATGGGCTGGAAGGGATATTTTAAAAAGCAACTTTGGTGGATTTTTWGGGCATAAATGTGTATTCAAACATTTAACAAGTCAACTTTTTTATTGTGATTTATTAAGATGCTATAGCACAATGACTTATTCAACGCAGTGCAAGAGTCTGAGGAAGCTGCAGCCCCAAACTCACAAAACAGCTGGTGGCCTGTGATTCGTGCAAATTAGAATCCAAGATCTAATTGGCAATTGGGAAGTTCTTATGATTGGCTGTGGGATTTGTGCATGCCTCAATCAACTGACACAGGTCTCATGACACGAGTTTGCTCAATTAGATCAGAGATGGAGCCTGACGAAGTAATCCTATAATTCATTAATCAGAATAGAACATTTTATCTGTCATGACATGTTTTAAATCCACAAATATGGAATGTTTTTTATTACATTGATATGATATGGATATCATATTTAATGTGTTTTATGATGATCTTGTACCACAGTCATAAGTATTCTTTAGAATGAGTTAACATTTTTCATCCACAGCAACTAAGACTAAATAGCTACATTTGGCATTTTTAAAATGTGGAAGAATCAGTCTGTTTCCAATTTCAAGGCAATGCAATCATGTACATACATTCAGCATTTRAGCAGCAACATTGTTCTCAAATTGCTGCTGGTAGTTTATTACTAGTGGCTGACCAATGCATCGAATAGAGCTGCATTCACAATTGCCGTTTGAACTAAATTCAAGATTGTTTATTTTTGTGGCTACTTATTTACACATCGTCTTTTTAAGTCACCATCTGGCATTTATGRAGTCTACCTAAAGTGGCGTTTATCTCTTTTGCATTCCATTGCATAGATAGGTTTCAATGGTTTTGAAATGCCCATTGGCATTGTGAAGAGTGTTCACAAACAAGGACTGTTGTCTTTATGGATGCTGCTTTAAACATCAGTTTGCAGGGATAACAAGAAACGCTCTGTGATCTGTGCAGATAAACTGTCTCCATGCACTGTGGTCCTCTACAGAAACTCTAAATACACCAGAGAGGCTYAAACATTTACTGGAAGAGACTTTTGATGTGACGCAATGACGTAGGTCTGTGGTGGACCTTTTTGGCAGTGGAAATACAAACTGGTTGTTAACAGTTTACCAATACCAGTTAGAACTGACCCTGAACCAGCACTGCTATGGTGGAAAAATTGCATCTATATCCAAGTTAAAATATCACAATTAATAGGTTAACAGGATGTGGAAGTTCCTCAAAACCTTGGCAGAGAGAAACTGTCTGGGATTATGTTGTAGATGAAAGTAGAGTGGGCAGTGGGGTGTTGTAGCATAGCTAAAAGCTCATTGTATAGACTGACAGAGAGAGGATGAGACAGCAGTTTTGAGGCTCTGTAGGCCAGCAAAGCCAGAAAGCAGAAGTAGAGGAAGACCTATTGCTGATATAACTTCTGTAAAAACACACAAAGTTGGTGTTAAAGGCTTTAGTCATCCTGGAACCGGAAGGTCGCCGGTTCGATCCCCAATCCAGCTGTCTCACTTGTTGTGTCCTTGGGCAAGACACTTCACCCCTAATGCCTCTGATGTGTGTCCCATCAATGTATGAATGTGATTGGCACTGATTAGTCTTCACAGATGATTGTACATGTTAGTTTTATAGAGACCTAATAGAGTGCTGTGTGAATGGTAAATGATGGCACAGATTGTAGTATGAAGCACTTTGAGTGTCCTGGATGGATAGAGAAGCGCTATATAAGTACAGTCCATTTATCATTTACCATTTACCATGTGACATATGTTGCAGCAATATTCTTGACAATGACTTTACAAGTTCTTCAGGGAAATACAAAGAGTTATTTCTGGTCTCAGTTGTCATCAAGCTTCACAAATAAGCAAAAGCTGTTGCTGCGTCCAGTCTACTAGCTTCCTTGTTTTATCTTTCTTTAAACTGAAATTTTGGCTTGAGTTGTGAGCAACAGAAGGTAGGAAGAAGGCAGAGGCGTTTTGTTCATCTTAATTAATGTTGATGGTTTATGCTAATGGTGCTGAGAGGCTCCTGAATATACCAGTTCACCTGATTGTTGTGCTTAGTGAGACTAAATTAGACTAAAACTCAACCCCTAATGGACTGATGCGTTTGCAGGTTTGGCACCAGTAGCAATTATGCATCACATAGCAACGTGGTGGTTGTTGGTTGAGAAAACGGAGGCAAACTAACTTCCTCTATACGTCATGCTCTGTGACTGGTGCCATGGCTGTTGAAGTATTAACTATTAATAACTATTAGACAGAWCTTCAAAACTGACCATCAGACTATCTCATTTAAATGTTCTACTGACAAGCACTGGTCTATATTGGCTGGGGCGTCAACGTACACTAATCTTATTCATCCATCTCCCTTCACTGTCCTCCTTCCTCATTCACTGTTTCCATCCACACCCACCCACCGGTCTCCACTCACAGGGTGTGTGCTGTGGTGTGAGGCAGCTGCAGTGTAGCAGCACTTTCATCGCTCACTCTCTCGTGCATGTCAATTCAGCCTGTCCAGCAGCCACGCACAGTCTCTCTCTGTGCTGCCTTTTTAATCGTGGCTTTTTCAGCAGAAAAACGCTGCTAAGATGGGCTGCTGGGGTGTGGTGACATTGCAGGGATCCATTCTCTTTTCCTACTCTTTCCGTGTGTGTGTGTGTGTGTGTGTGTGTGTGTGTGTGTGTGTGTGTGTGTGTGTGTGTGTGTGTGTGAAAGCACTCCCCTCTTACTTTTGTCCTTCCTCGTTAACTTTCTTCTCATCTTCCTTATTATGTCATCTCATTTTTTTCTCTTCTACTCAGCCGTCATTTCCTCTTCTCTGTGCTTGTTGGCCAGGCTTTTTCAACTGAGTCAGAATTGTTGGAAGTCCCAGCCTCTCTTTCGCATTCATTTTTGGAAACTCATGCCTGAAAGCTTTGCTGTTTTTTCCTCATCAAGCTTGATACTCTCAGGGAAACTTTAAGGATCATTTGCTGTAAACAAAATCCCAAACAGATTTTTACCCTAGTGTTTATTTTCACTCTGAAGCGTGCTCTGTCAATCATCGTCTGTTCTTCTGAGTAAATTAGAAACAATAATCTACAACGAAAATTCACGTCTTCAAATTGTTTGTTTTTTATTTATGAGCTAGGACTAACATTTGCATTGCCTCCTGGTGTGTGTTTGTATGGATATGTCAATCTAAACTGAGTAGACACTAAGTTTGTTCATTAAGAATAAAATAAAACTAGGTTCTAAAGAATGTTCTTGGCTGTCTTTTTTGTTTTTTTAATTGCCTGACCTTTTCTGATTTATGCGTTTTAAAGTCAACCTTGTAGTGATGATGTTTKTCGTGTGTCCATTATGTCTACAATTTACTTTACTTATAAAGTTCAGGGTTTTTTCATCCAACAAGGAGGTTGACGCAGACAACATAAAATATACCAACTTTAATTTGTGCCACTTGTGTTAAATTAGTTCTATGTTTTACYTTTTGGTGTTGTTAATAACCTTGAAACTAGAAAGATAAGACTAATGATGGTTGTTTGTTTTTTCACAGGCGGAATCTCACCAAACTGTCGTTGATCTTCAGCCACATGCTGGCTGAACTGAAAGCCATCTTCCCCAATGGTCTTTTTCAGGGCGACAATTTCCGCATAACCAAAGCAGATGCTGCAGAGTTCTGGAGGCGTGCTTTTGGGGACAAGTAAGCTCTTTTTTGTTTATGACCTTTTATCCTAAACTCAAAATTAATGCCCTTGAGCTTTCAGGAGGTCTCTTTTTTTAAAGTTAAAGTTAGTCTTTAACTCATTTTTAAAAAGTGGTACAGTTAAAATGTGTGCGAGAAACTCACACATTTCTTGGAAAAATGTTTGCCCATTTCATAGATTAAATAAGGTTTTGCAATGTAAATTTTGTAAATGCATAAATAGTTCAGTTCCCACAGACACACAACTATTGTGAAAAGTACAAAGAAACGTCAAGGCTATTTTAAATATTGCCCTTTTATACATCAGTTTTGATTTTTATCAGATATGGTCCGTTGAATTTGCATCTATAACAGGAACTGATCAAGAAGATTTTTCAGCCTGGTATGGTTTTGCAAATGTTGGCATTTGATCTCTTGAATTCATTTGTTTCATATCATACAGATGATCAATTATTTTAAGAACAGCTGAGTATCAAATCTTTATTTTGGACAATATTTTTGTTTATAAATCAAAGTGTCTTAGACATCACTGCTTTTCATAGACGTTAGAGAAATTAAGAAAAGGTCAATATTCGAAAGTTAAAGTATTTTTCTCTGTAATAATCATTTATTTTAGTCTTACACAGAATGCAATAATTTAAATTGGTTACTTTTTTACAGAACCATTGTGCCTTGGAAAGTATTTCGTCAGTCCCTCCACGAATTTCATCCCATCAGCTCCGGGCTGGAGGCCATGGCTCTTAAGTCCACAATAGACCTCACCTGCAACGACTACATCTCTGTTTTTGAGTTTGACATCTTTACGAGGCTATTTCAGGTAGACAACACACACACACACACACACACACACACACACACACACACACACACACACACACACACACACACACACACATTTATTATGCACCTCACCCTTTGCCTCAATATTTCCTTGTTAGTTAATGAGTAAAGAAATGTGCAACAAACAAGAGAATGAAACTTGAGATTAGCACTTCATAAGGGTCTGTTGTTTTTCATGTTCAGGAAAACATTTTGATGAGCACGAGATGAACTTAAAACAATCACAAGACATTTTCTTTAGTTCAGTTAAAGCCATCAGAGTAGACTGGAGGTAAAAGTTTACTCCCACTAGTACAATTCAGTGTAGGTTTGAGTTTCTTATCTACTTTGTATTGGTTGTCTGGTCTATAACTAGAAGCAACAGCAAGTCAGTCAGCTGCTCTAATGGCAATTCTTGCAAGCTGAAACACAACAGGATAAGAGAAATCATCTGAATCTTGGTTTGGCATGTTTATTTTAGTCACCAGAGTTAGCTGTATGCAAAGCTGTATGCAAATAAAACTACCAAAAAACAGAACTCACAAATTTACTGTAAAAATTATTTCTGAAAAAGGAAGTTTCCCTAGAGCTGATCTACACAAGGTTAACAGACTGTGCACCTACAATGGGCCCGTTTTTAATTTACTTTATCTGAAACGCTAGCATATCTGCTGTGCAGCAGTGTATGCTGTTTATTCCCTGAGTGACATTATCCCTCRGTACTTGTGTGTGAGGCTCCAACAGGCTTAATGAAGCCTAAACAGATTAGACATTTCCTATGTGACACTCCCTCTAACAAAAAAAAAGTTCTCCTCTGCATGTCCTCAAACTCAGAAGAGGAAGTAGGTCTGTGGCCATTTTAAGACATGTCCTCAACATGTTACAGACTCTAGATGAAATGTCTTGTTTTTATTAGAAATAATACACTAATTGAATTTGAAGAGCCCCTCATTTGTCAAGTTCAGGGGTGCCCAAACTATTTCCCCGAGAGGGCCAAAATGAAAATTTATCCGAGGGCTGCGGGCCAAAAGCAATAATATAAACACATCAAATACAAATACTTCTTAAGTAAAGTCCTATTATTTTTGATGATGAAGCTAGCAGCCAGTGCTGTGACCCATGTTTTTGACTAACGGCACTATAGTCATTGAACCAATAACTTTAGGTGGAAATACTGTGGTTCTACATAGGACAACCTAGAAACCATGGCAAGTGCTAGTGGGCCAGTTTTGGCCCACAGGCCCCACTTTGGCCACCTCTGGTCAAGTTATTTTCAGTGTTTTAGCTAACTTGAGGTAATATGACAACCGGTAGCAATAAAAGGCTAAGGACCTAAATGTAGTTACTGGATTTTACTCGACTCTCATAAGTTGTAAGCACTAACTAAGACAGTCTGATAAGATTAGAATAAAACAGAAAAAAATGACTTGCAGCACAGGAAGGTGACATAAACTTCGTTTAGCTAAAACTATAAATATCTATCACTGAATTTTAGTTTGAGCAAATTTGTTCAAGCCAAACATGGAGTTCTAAGCTTAGTTTTTGTACTGCTACACATTTACATCATTTTGTATATGTTCATTCTACTTTCTCTCACACCAGTGAATTGCAGAATAAATGACTCACAGATAGTCATAGTAAACAAAAAGTGTGATCTTTACCAGCAGATTTTGTAGATTTTGACTGTGCCTTTGCAACACCATTCACCATTGTTGTTATGAAGCATTTGTTAACTTTGATTTTTTACTGGAATGTTTCCAAATAAACATTCAAATTAAGCAATCTGGCTTTTAATTACATTCATACACTTTAAACTTTCACACTCAAAMTAACATCTGAAAAATTTGATGCACAGTTCTTGGTTTTTGCTGTTATCGATCATTGTAAAGGTTGAACTTTCTGTGACATTCTCTTGTTTGGGAGATAAATCCGCTGGTTGTTCTTAGTATAGAACTGTGATGTGGTGATTACAGGCTGCAGCCGTTAGTTAAGATCGTTACGGACATCCTCACTGCTTGGCCTCTTGTTAGTACGCATTAACAAATTGCTAAAACATGAAAACAGTAATTATTTTCTTACCTTTGCACACAATTTTTCTACGCTTTATTTGAAGCCATTTTCTCACTGTGGTTCCTTGACTTGTCTGGAAAAATGACACCTAAGACACCTTTGGTCGTTCACACATGAAACTACTTGAGTCAAATCATAAGACTCTGTTTACTTATCGTTATGGAACCAGTTCAGTGGCTGCAGTGCCGTTAGCCCTGACTGTCTCAAAAGTCTAATAGCTGTGGTTTTAACTTATGTCCCTCTGTCGTTTCACACATTACACTTATGTGGGAAGAAGCTATTTGTAGCCCAGTTTGAGGGAGTTATGTGAGCAAAACTTATTTGCTAAATGTTGTAGTTGTCACATGTTCATTTAAACGTGGTATTTTACTTGACTGCGACTGTTTGCCCCGAAAATGTTTGGAAATTTTAAGAAAACTGGCAGATTTTCCTGTTGCAGTCAAACTTCATTTTGAGTATTTACAACTACTGATCTATGTGGCTGCAGTTTGAATAACTAGGTTTTGCCTATTTGTGTGTACATTGCTTGCAAAAGTGCGTTCATGACCATGCACATTATTTTGTTGACCACCTACATCAAAAATGTCTCGACTAACTTTTACATCCACATTTTTAGCTGTCCCCATGTTTATCATTTAATTTGCTTAAGTGCACTTTTAATGTGAATATAGGCAGATTGGACTGTGTTTTTCCCCTTGTATTATTAAGGTGGTTTTTAGATTTGTACATTTGCATCAGATGATTTCTGCCAGAGGAGAGCTCTTGTGCAAATGTCAAAATGCAGCAATGGTGCTCTCTAGACTTGATGGAGATACCAACAAAATTAATTTGGGTTTTACAACTAGGGCTGGGTGGTATGGCAAAAAAAAAAAGATCACGATTTATTTTTTCTTATTGTCCAATCTCGATTATCACAATTTTTTTATTAACCTAAAATGTTTGTAATTATTAAGTGAGTGAAAAATAATTTAACAAATAAATAGCTACAGAAATTTAAAAAAAAAGTAGTGGCTGGTATTTCACTTTGACTAATAATAAATAGCTGTGCTTCAGTAGAACAAATTCTTTTTGCAAGGTATTTAAAATTATTTACCAAGAAAAAAACATTCTTTGTGTAAATCAGAATCTCACATTAATAAAGTTATACTTGTGTAAAATAAAATTTTAGAATTGAATTTTACATTAAATATGTCAAACAGCAACAATTTGTTGCCACTTGCCAATTGAATAGGATCYAAGCTCATAATTTACTTCTAACAACGGACAAAGCTTTTTCATTTTTTCTAAAACAAAATCTTGGATAATCTACCTCACTCCTGAGTGTTCAGGAGTTTGTAGCGTGTCTCTCTCAGCTGGCTGTTTGTGATACCACTCAAGACAGGAAGCGGTCTTCTTCACATTTTTTTATGCGTCCAGCCCATTGCGTAATGACAAAACTTACAGAAAAGTTCTTCTCCAGATTGTTCCGTCCTAAACGTTACCATAGCTTCATATTTTTGGAGGATGTTTTCTGTTTTAGTGAGTCTGTTTAGCCACGCATCGCAGCTCACTTTTATTTTTTCATCTCTGTGTCGGGAGGAGAGCTCACCTGCTGTTACCTGGTGCCTGTTAGCAGGTAACAGCAGGTACACTACAGGAAGCAACAGAGGCCAAAATACCTCAGAAACTCACCCAAATAAGCTAACTCTGTGGGATTCAGCATTTTATACTGGATTACATTTTGTTTGGTCAATTCTGTCATACCATCTGCATTTCCTTAGTAACTTATTAACGAAAGTGGAGCGGGAAAAGGTGGATTCTGATTGGCTGTTGAGTGAAGAGGCTCACAGCTGATCACTGTAATYGACCTGAATTTTTGTCCATCAATAATCACGATCAAATAATCATCACCCAGCCCTACCCACATCAACTATGCAACTATTTGTGTGAAACGTTGTCTCATGGATTAATTTAAACATGTTCAAATATTAGGATGGCGTGCCTCTTAGACTCACGAGACTCACTCGTGAGTACTGTTCACCGACTCACAACCCAGTGAAATATTATCTTCCTAATTTTAACACGTGGCAAAGTCCTAACACGACTCACCTCCCTTGCTTTCTGACTTATTGCTGTCATTTTTTTTGCCTTCATGTGACATTGAATAAGATTGTAGGTGTTGCACATTATTCTTAAACTATCTTTTCACATTTCTTGACTCAGACTGGAGCAGCCTGTAGATCGCAATACTGTTCATTAAACTGTTTGAACCRTTTTTCCATGTTGCAGTATACACTATTTCTCTATGCTGAGCTTCTGCTGTCCACTCACTCACACTTTGGATGACTCACACTCTCTTTTTTTTCTCTCTCTCTCCTTTTTGAACATGTGTGTGTGGTGGGGGGGTAGCCTTGGTCATCCCTGTTGCGGAACTGGAACAGCTTGGCTGTTACTCATCCAGGGTACATGGCCTTCCTCACCTACGATGAGGTCAAAGCCCGTTTGCAGAAGTTCATCCACAAGCCCGGCAGGTGAGACATCACACAAACGTTTACATAGGCCAGTCTATCCACATACTCTGTCAACTCAAGATGAGTTCATTGTCTGTCACAAACCTCTATTAGCAGCACTTTAAGTCAGAAGCAATATTTCCATTTCCTTCATTAGAAAACACATTTCCATTAGCAACAATTTAGTTACAGGTTAACATATTTCTAAAGACAATTTATGAAGACATTGAACTTTATGACAGATTCACCTTACATTTTTTTGCTATAGTTTGTGTTTTTGTACGTGTGTGTAAATGTACGTTTGTGTAAATATATGCATGTGTGGGAGGGGAAGCAGACTCTGGAGAGCTTGGGTCATCACGGCACTGGCACCTTCCATCAAAGGCCTGATTGTACACAAACAGCTGATGTCACTTCACAGTCCAGGCCAGCATAGAGACACATCCACATAAAGTATTTTTGGGTGAAGCTAAATAAAACTTGGATCTGTTGATGTATGAAGAATTTCTGATCAGTGGCTAAATCAGGCAGGGTTCATCTTTTTAGTGTTAATTTTCATRGTCTCAGAAGTAATCTAAACATGAAACTAATTCTTTTTCTGCCCACATCAGTCACATGCCAAAGTTTCCACATRACCCTAAAGGTCAGAATGAGTTTGCTCAAATTACCTTCATCTGCAAACACAGCCAGTTCCTCTCTGAGCTATTTTTTGAAAAGCAAAATTGCCAGCATAAAATTAAAAAAGGACAAATAACAYTCTGCCCTGTGTTTGGCTAAATGCATGCTACATCTGTTATTTTTTGTTCCTATTTTTTTCCTCATTCTGTTTTTTCATCGCAACAGTTTTTTTTTCTGTTTGAAACATGTTTACAGCAAGATACGTCTTGTATTCACCTCCAACACCCTTTGTCATACTTGATCATTACAGCCTGTCTAAAGACAAAATGTTTGTTTTTGTTTTTTAATTGTTTTTATTTATTTCACATTTTTTGCACTATTCAATTTGTTTTGACTAGGGAGTAAATTATCTGTGACTGCTGCCTGTTCCTGCACCAGTTTATTAAAATTTATATTGCACTGTCTGTACTTGAGAGCCATGACAATGTAGTTATGTATTTTGACAACTCATGTTTCCAAACTTGTAGCTTCCTATACTCTGAGCCATACAACAGATTTGTTGCACTTTGTCATTCATTTTAAACAAAAAGTCCAAGTTTTTTGTCTTGTACAGTCAGTTTCTGCATGTTTACATGCCTAAACAGTGTAATTTATATTTATAATTTCCTGTTTTTCTTAGGTGCTGTTTCCCTAGATCTGACTGAGTTATCTCTTAAATTTCTGTGTACCAGTCTTCCATGAATTATCTTCATTATGTTATTGCTTTTCTCCACTCAGTTACATCTTTCGTCTAAGCTGCACACGACTGGGCCAGTGGGCCATCGGTTATGTGACGGCAGATGGGAATATTCTTCAAACCATTCCCCACAATAAACCCCTCTTCCAAGCCCTCATAGATGGTTTCAGAGAAGGATTGTAAGTATAGGTTTTTGTTTGGCAAATTTATATCTGCCTTTTCTTGTAGCTTTATGTCTTAACGTCTGAGCTTCTGCTGCATCACTGGCTGCTGTGTGGTCTCGATTTGATGCCTTTTTTTGTCTGAAAAGCTTTTCTTTTCATCATTCATATTTTTGTTTCCTCATCTGTCTGTAAAAAAATGCATGTCTTTTGACATCCTACAGCTGACTCTCCCAGTAAATCTCAGCATATCAACTTACTTTCAATCTTTCTGCTGTTTTAACAACCAAAGCAGAGCTGCTGATTTCTAATGTGGGCCACAGTCGATGGTTCAGCCGGCTGACACAAAACTTGGCTTTCATTGGTAGTGTTGATTCCTTTGTTTAACAAAAGCTACATTTGATTTAAACTGAGAAGGCCTATAAAGTATGCCACCAGTGTGTGCAAACCACTTGTCAAACAGTAATTTAAGTGTTTAACCCATTTGTAAAATACTCACATCCTTTGCTTTAAGGTTAGGCAATATTGGCAAAAAAAAAAAAGATTACCACGATTAACTGTTTCATTTAACCAATTTAACAATTCATTTTACAACTAATAGATGACAGTTGTGCTGCATATTTTTGACTCTAAATCAGTAACCAGTAATCAGTTTGTTTCTAAAATTATTCTTACAAATACTCAGTCAAACTTCTTAATTTTAACAGGTTAAACAGTAAGCTGTGAACTGAAACATACCTTTTCTACAATGTGGGGTGGCACTGTCTGTCTGTCTGTCTTTCTTTGTCTGTCTTTCTTTGTCTGTCTTTCTTTGTCTGTCTTTCTTTGTGTCTGTCTTTCTTTGTGTCTGTCTTTCTTTGCGTCTTTCTTTCTTTGTGTCTGTCTTTATTTCTTTGTGTCTTTATTTATTTATTTACTGCTTTACACAACAACAGTGCTGGTGACTAAAGTGCTTCACAAAGTCAGTGATTAACATGACAACAAGTAAAAAACAAGAAAACACAACAAAAATAGCAGAAGTAAAACCAGAAATGTCACCACATATTTAAGTACTAAAAGCCTGTTGGAATAAAAAGGTCTTAAGCTTCAGTAACACAACATGCCACGGTCTCACATGAACACTTGATAGTGAGAGTGCGTCACATAAAAAATATGTCATTACAAGGCATTAATTGCAAAGTGGCAAATATATATATTTTTTACAGTTTTTCTGATAGTAATTGCACAGAATGCGATTTTGCCCATCCCTACTTTACGTTCTTCAGCTTACCTTGAATAAATAAACTGAACAGATTGTTTCATTACAGCAGGCTTTTAGCTACACATGTGGTGTGATCATGCTAATAATCATGGTTAWATGAAAATATATAACCAATGCTTTCAAGACATTTCTTTGAGTTTAATTTTCTCTGTCTCCTCCAGCTATTTGTTTCCTGATGGCCGGACCCAAAACCCTGACCTGACTGGACTGTGTGAGCCTTCACCACAAGACCACATTAAAGTTACTCAGGTCAGAACACTGTGTCTAACAGATAGTTTAGTAGATGTCCTGATTTTACACGCTCTTACTTATATTTTTATTTGACATTTCATTTTGCCGGTAAGGCAAAGATAAGGTTAAGGTTGAAATAACAAGTATTTACAGTATTGTCAACTGTATTTTGCACTTGTAATCTTACAAAAGCATACTGTAATTTATATATATA